CTTTTTCTGAAAGAAAAAAAAGAAAGAAAATGTCAGCTACATCCTACCAACTATACGTTATTATAGGCATGCTGTTGTGTGGGTCCTATCATGTGGATTCCACCATCTGTCACTTACTGAGAATATTCTAGATCTGTGGCCAGTTCTGCCCATACAAAGCAGAGGAGGCCAGGCCTACCCCACAAGTTCAGGGCTGGTCAAATAGCGTGTGAGGGGCTCAGCAGTTTCTACGAAGGAGGGAGTAATTACTGTGATGACTATAGGCTGGGGTACAGGTGAACATGAGAACTTAGCTCCTCCAGAGTCATGCAGACTGAATTTGAGCAAAATGTTCACATTTCCCAGACAAAGAATACGAAAAGCTACTCTGAGTTGAGCAAGGGTCAGGAGAGAAGAGGCTGGACATAGATGGCTTGTCACAGGCTCTAGGAACTGTACTTAGGAAAGGAAGCCAAGCAAGCCTGGATCACAGTGATCCTGCTGTAACAAGTAGGCAGTTGGTAGGGACCTCATCTCTGCTTCGTGAGAGGCAAGTGTGCTGGGGTCCTTAGGTTCCCCTGTCTTCCTGTCTATAAACCAATGTTAACAGTATCAGGGTCTTAAGACAGCAAGTGATACAAAGGCCATGAAACACCTGGAACAATGGAGCCTTCCTTTGCTATCCATCCTTCCCGCTAGTATTACAGCATCATTCTCAAGGCCCTTCCTTCCTCCTCTCTACATCCTTACGCTCACCTAGGTAATCTCCCCTCCTCCCTAACATATGCCCCTCTTAGAGAAAGATAAAAATGGCCTTCATGAAATGTCATTGGGGCTCAGCCATATCTGAAAACAGGTCTGTCCTCCACACGGGCTTCCCTCACACATGCTACTGGTCTTTCACTTGCCTGGAACCTCACATGTATGAAGTCACTGGATTCCCCATTGAAAACCTCATCAACTTTTCCCCATCCCCAGGCAAACTGTAGTAAAGGTGTTCCTTTCTTTCTGGACTTTTTTCTGGGTAAAGCAACACGACATGACCAAGTTTCAGGAAAATGATGCATTGGTAGTAGAGATGAATGCCAGGCAGTGGTGACACACACTTTAATCCCAGCACTCAGCAGCCAGAGGCAGGCAGATCTCTTGTGAACTCAAGAATAGCCTGGATTGCATACCAAGTTCTAGGCCAACTAGAACTAAAAAAAAAAAAATGAGATCCTGTCTCAAAAAGAAAGGAAGAAAGGAA